CAGGGCGGTGGCGCACGCCTTTAATCCCAGCACTTGAGAGGCAGAGGCAGGTGGATCTCTGCGTTCAAGGCCAGCCTGGTATACAGAGGGGTACCAGGATAGAGAAATTCTGTCTCAAAAAAAAAAAAAAAAAAGAAAAGAAAAAGACATGAAAGCTTAAGAGGCGGGGCAAGGGGAAGCTGTTTCCTAGGCTGTCTGGTCTGCCTGCAGAGTCAAGTCCCTTCCCATTTCCAAACCATTCTACAGTATCAGAAGCCAAGGCCATCTTGGCCCCATAGCTCAGCTGGACTCCTGGGACGTGCCTGACCCCACCTGGCTACCCCCCCCCCACACACACACTTTGTGGTGATTTGAATGAGAATGGTCCCCACAGGTGCACATTTTGAGTGGTCTAACAGTTGGACTGATTAGGGGATTAGGAGGCGTGTCAATGGGGTTGGCCTTTGAGGTTTCAAAAGCCTGTGGGAGGCCCAGTCTGCCTGCTGCTTGTGGATACAATATAAACTCTCAGAGCCAGTGCTCACCTGCCTCCTGCCACTGTAAGCTCCAATAGTCTCTCTTGGGTCCAACTGAAAAGCAACAAGCACTCTTAACCACTGAGCATCTTTCCAGCCCTAGATAAAGATTCTTTATGTGTTTTGCTTTAAAAACAAAATCTTTTACTTTGATGAGTATGTATGTGTGGTTGTGAAGTTTATGTACCTCAAGTGTGTGCAGGGTCCTAAGGAGAAGAAGGTGTCAGACCCCCTAGAACTGGAGTTATAAACAATTATGAGCTGCCATGGGGGTGCTGGGTATTGAGGCCTGGGTTCTCTGGGAAAACAGTCTTAACCACCAAGCTCTGTCCAGACCCACACCTCTTTCTCTTGAGACAGTCTCTCTAGTAGTTCTTGGTTGGCCTGGAATTAGCTATGTAGACCAGACCTGCCTCTGCCTTTCAAGTGCTGGGATCAAAGGCCTGCACCGTACCCACTGAAAGTACTTTCTGATTTCCAAGTCATTTCTTCACAGACTCATAAACTATCTGGAAACTGTTGCCATCTGGATCTCAAATCCCTCCCAACTTCAGCCAGTGTGTTAAATGATGAGACCTGGGGCTGGAGAGATAATGGCTCAGTAGTTAAAAGCCTCTTCCAGAAGACCCTGCTTCAATTCCCTGCACCCATGTGGCAGCTTACAAATACCTGTAATTCCAGTTCTAGGGGATCTGATTCCTTTTTCAGGGTTCCGTAGGCATTAAAGTGGCATGTGGTGCCCAGACATACATGCATGTAAACCACACATCATACAGGTTTAAAAAAAATTAAAAAGAGATGTGGGATGTGAGGCAATGCCCTTGAAGGCAATAGTGGGACTTGGATTCTCTCCCTCCAGCACATATCCACTGCCACAAGCTGAGGGGGCTTGCTCCACCACGAATTCCTAGTGATGTGCTGCCACAGGTTCAAAGCAACTGGCCATGAGGAATCTTTACATGCCCCTCCCCTTTTGGCAGAGCTACAGTAGACCAGGCAGAGTCCTGCCTGCCTCTGCTGCCTGAGTGCTAAACCTTTACTAGTTATAAGCTAGTTATATAGCTATATAGTTACTAGTTATATAGCTGATTGTCCTATGTATAGCAAAGGAAAATAAACTGCTTTTAAGCTTCAAAAAGAAGCCAAGAGTTGGGTGTAGTAGATGCCTGTAGTCTCAGCTACTCAGGATACTGATATAAGAAGACCAGTTGAACGTTCAAGTTTAACAGTGTGAGCAGAATAGTAAGGCTCTATTTCAAAACAAAAACATAGAATACAGACCCTCGCCGCCCTTCCTACAACCCATTCTCTGCACCTCAAAGTGTGCATTACACTACAGCACTGCAGCCACAGCTGACCAGGCCACAGTGGGTAGTCTTTTCCAACTTCTTATTCCAAATCTTTACTCTTATAATCTAAATGTATTTTTCAAATACCATATGGCCCAATTTGAGGGGATTTCCCCCCAAATGTCTTCACTGCACTGTGAATGCGAATGGAAGTGGAGTTATTCAGTAATTTCTTAGGAGCTGGGGACGCAGTGCAATAGCAGTGTACTAGCTTAGCAGGACCCTAGGTTCACTCTCTAGTAACAGAAAAGAGGGGAAAAAGTAAGATTGGTGAGATGGCTCAGCAGGTAGAGGCGCTCGCCACCAAGCCTGACAACTCTGACGGCCACATGTGCACCAAGGCGTGCATGTATTTACCCCAGTAAATACATTTTAAAATAATATTTTCCTTTAGTTACTATTGTAGTTGCCTCTTAGCCATCTTTGCCTTTCGTTGAGTTGGCAAAGCTTTTCCTCATTTTGCCTGGCGTATAGATGGAAGAGTTGTAACCTGCATTTTGCTACTAACACCTACTGTAATATAGTTTAAAGTTAACAACTTTCTGAATGCCACGCCAGCTGAAGTAGTGCACCCCTTTAATATCAGCATTTGGGACGTAAAGGCAGGTGGGTCTCCCCAAGTTGAAGACCAGCCTGGTCTACATAGTGAGTTTCAGGACAGCCAAAGCTACATAGTAATATCCTGTCTTGGACCCTTCCCCTACCAAATGTGAATGCATTAACTCTGATCAACTCCATTCTGCATTAGGGGCTGACTCCAATTATTTGAGTGTTGTAAAAAACAAAACAAAAACAAAAATAAAAACCCACAATTGCCCATAAAAGCCATTATTATTGGTGACTAATACAATCACTGCTTATTTAGGCCTCACCATTTATGGACCCATTCTTTGTTTTTTTTTTAATCCCATGCTATCTTTTCAGCTTAAGTTCCATTTATCTAAAGAATACCCTTCAGTATTTACTTTTGCAAAGATATTTGCTCAGCAAGTTGTCAATGGCACTGAGCGTGAGTTGAGCAGCATTCTGGCGTAAGTGCGTGGACTCCCAGGTGGGTCATCAGTTCAGCGTTCTTTCTTAGAATATGGTCTCTTTACTTAGGTTGCAGTTTCCTCTTTTTGTTTTAAAATTCAGACAACTCACAATGACACGGTGGTCTGTGGGTGTGTTAAAATGCTGGAGTTGTCTTTTTCTATTGCATTTTTTGGGGGACAGGGTCTTACTGCATAGTCCATGCTGTCCTGGAACTGATAGGTACGCCAGGAAGGGCATCTTTACATTTACAGAAATCTACCTGTCCTTGCTTCCCAAATGATGGGACTAAAGGTGTGTGCCACTACGTCCTGGCAGAGTTATTTATTATTCTGACACATTTAAAAGAAAAAAGATTGTTGTGCCCTTGGAGGACAGCATTCTGTAACAGACAATTCGAAACCTGGAAAGCGTCAAGTTAACTGTGCCTCTGACACGAATTGTGAATCTGTATTTATTATATGGCTGGTTCGTTTCTCTACATAAGATACTTCGGAAACTATGGAAGACCAGCTCTTTTAGGTCCCTCCTATCAGGACCACCAGGGGGCGGATCCAGTAGAGAGCAGGTTTAGAAAGTGAGAAACTTCCAGTTCAGGTCTAATAAATAAGGAATCCAAATGTAGATTCCAAAGAATACAGATCTCTGAATATTTCGACTTGATGTTTTCTTCTGTACATTCAAGAGAAATACAAACTTTCAAGTTAACACCTATCAAGTGCTTGGTTCTAAACATGTTCCAATTCCTAATACATTTTATAATGTTACATTATCACTAAAATATCACTGACCCTGTAAGATACCGCTTAAAGTGAGCAGTGTGTGTGTGTGTTGGGGCTGTGCGTCAAAAACCAGGCAGTATACAAATAGTTGAGAAGTAAACAATATCAGACCAGGGGACTGCATAGAAAAGAACCTACAAATGGAAAAACTCTAAAGAGGTCAAGAAGACGGTCTGTTTCTAGCTGCATACATTATTTATAACGAAGGCTAGAGCTGGTCTTTCTTCCTGTGGGGCCAGGGATGCAGTTAGTGCCTTTTGAACTTTAAAAATATATTTTCTTATGAAAGCCTTGTTAAAAAAAAAAAAGGGCGAGAATGTGTGGCGTGGTGGATACTGTTTGCCAATTAGCTTCGAAGTGAACAACAACAACAAAAATCCCACGACTCAAGGCCTGAGCGGACCGATCCGGAGCCTCGAGTGTGAGCACGAGCGGGGGTCCGCAGGGGAGGCAGGCGACACGCTGTCACTAGCCAGCCCCGCGCGCGCACCCTCGCGTTATGTAATGGTCTCTTTCGGCAGGGTCCCCGCGCCAATCGGGGTCCTCCACTGCTGCTCCGCCAGTGTCCCCGCACAGCTCTTCTCTGGAGGTCTCCTGTCAGGTGATGGCCCTCCAGGAGTGACCATTGTGCAAAGCTCCGGGACCCCGTCCACCCCGATCCTCGGGTTCTCCCAGACCCTTTCGGCCCCGGGCACCGCCAGCCGCCCCGGCCTGCCCGACGGCGCGGCCCGCACTCACTGTTGTACTGAACCCCCTTAGCGAAGCGCCTCTGCAGCGCCTGGTTCATGGACTGCAGCCCGGCGGGGATGTTCTTGTCCCGGCCCGGGGCCTGCTCCGATCCCACCAGCTTCTTCAATGCCGAGAACATCTTCCTGCTGGACGTGCAAGCGGGCGCGGTCCGCGAGCTCAGCGGCAGCAGTGGTAGCAGCAGCAGCAGCAGCAGCGCAGCGCGCCTCGCACCATGTCCGGCCGGCCCAGGCTTCCCCCGAGGCCGGAGCAGGCGCGCGTCGGGAGCGGCCCGGAGCGAGGCTCTGAGGCCTCAGCCTCTGTGGCTCCGCTCCGGCTCCCGCGGCCCTCGGCGCGGCGGCCAAGCACCCGTCAGCGCCGCCATCTTGGCGCCGGCGCGGCTACGGAGCACCAAGTGGGACACGTAGACACCGCATGCGCAGTGGGCGCCCTAGATCCCGCCTCTTTCTAGCAGCCCCTCCCCTCTTCTCCCCGTCCAAGCCCCGCCTCCCCGCCCTGAAAGTCCAGGGCTGTTTCTAATTTTCCTAGAGTGGTTGTGGAAAAATTTTTATTTGTATACTAAAGCCCGGACAGGGCTACTTTTTCTTCTTTTTGGACATCTTGAGCTTCCCCTCGATCAACCTCTGCCCCTGTTTCTTTATCTCGGCCCGCGAAGGGACGTAGCTATGATCCACGTCAGCAAACTGGAAGGTTTCTGCACAGGCAAAAAAGGAATGACTGGCTCCCTCTTTCCAAAGACCCCCCTGACCCCTCTTTACCCGTTTGCTTTTGCAGCCATGGGCCTTCTGTGTCTGCAGCTCCTCTCAGAGATGGACCAGTGCCTGAAGACTCTGTGATCTGACCCCTGCCCTAAATCACCCAAGGCCAGGTGCCAAGAAACCAGGATTTGCCAGGATCACCCATACTAGCCGTCCTTCCCCGTTCACCCTACCCTGTCTTTGCGACAGGAATCCCACTAATAGTCTTTATGACCCATCCCATGATATGCCCCTTTGTCTCAAAAAAAAAAAAAATCCTCGTAAAGGTTAACCTCTGTCACCTCAATTAAAACCTTTCTCTTTAGCACCCAGTCTGCCAGTATGTTCCAGTCAGACCGAGGTGTGCCATCTCTTGCCTTGAGTTCAGGCCCTATCTAGTTCCTCTTCCCCCATCTAGGGGCTCACCTATCATGTCCTCCTCTTGGTCCTCAAAGGTAATCCTGGTATTATGTTTCTCCTTTAGAGTGGATGATTCCAGGGCATCCCTCACCTTTGTGTCGACCTGCAGGGCAGCACCCTTATCAGCTTGGATAGGACATGGGCTTTGTGGGTACCCTTCCATGGCCCGGGGCTACCTCCTCATCTCTGGTCAGCATTTGCACACGTTCAGCTAGGTATATGAGCTTCCCCTCGCAATACTCCAGCTTGCCATACACATCAAGGGTGTCCGACATTGCTACTTCTTTCTGTAGGCCAGAGGGGCAGCTTGTTTTTCTAGTGTCCCTACATGAGGACCTTATGCAAGCAGCTCCCCGCGAGGGCTGGTACCTGGGTGGCTGGCAAGGTGATGCCGATGAGCCGGATGTAGAGGTTGTCAATACCTGTCTGGATGGTCAGCAGTAGCTGCTGGCTCTTGGTCATGTTGCTGTGGGCCAGCTGGAGCCTTGCTTCTTCCTCTTCTAGCATGTTCTTCATCTTTTTTTCAACCGAATTAAAGCTGGGGAAGAGGTAGGCTTAGCAGTAAGGGTGGGACAGACAGTACTCAGGGCCCACAGGAGTCCTGAGCCAGGTGTGTCAACTTCAGGGGTTCGTAAATTCAGCTTCAAGCAGGTGGGTCCTTAGCTTTTCTGTGGATGCCCAGGTTTACTGGCTATAGGTATGTGCAGCTACTAACTTGTACCTGTGGGGCCATCCAGCAGCACCAGAACATACCCAACAGAGCTGGGTGTCTGGTGGAATTTGAGCACTGCCTCTTCCAGTTCCAGCTTCTTCATCAGGGCTTCCAACTGCATCCGCCGCTCCTCACGATCCTCCATCTGCAGCTCCAGGTTCTCCTCTGTGTTCCTCTGAGCCAGGAAGCGGCCCGCTATGTCCTAAGCAGTCCAGGGCAGGGAGAAACGGGTGTGGGTCTGAAAGGCAGTAGGGCCTCATAGCCCTGGTTTCTCCTGGGCCCCTCCCGATGGAGAGTACAGCTTTGTGGTACTTGGGGCTCAGTTATGACACTGAATACTTCTGGGTGCTAAGGTTTATGAGGGGCTGGGTAGAAGGGTAACCTGTACATGTCCTTATACATACATAGCTCTCATGACAGGCAGAGGGTAAGTAACTCCGTCTATCATGAAGAGACATGTATCGCCTTCAGTCAAGATGTTGTGGATGGGACCTCAAGGCCTGACAATGGTAACTCAGGTCTATGACAAAAGGAGGCCAGTTCGCTGTGGCTGTCAAGTTGGGAAGGGGTTCATGTCCTTAGCATTTGAACTTTAAAATTCTAGCAGACTCTGTCCCATGCATGGGGCTGGAGAGATGACTCAGAGATTAAGAGCACTGCCTGCTCTTCCAAAGGCCCTGAGTTCAATTGCCAGCAACCATAGGGTGACTCGTAACTGCCTGTAGTAAGATCTGGCGCCCTCTTGAGGAAGAGACTGGTCAGTCGTCTTCATCAGCTTAGACCATGAAACCCAATATGGACAAGTTCAACAGAACCGCCATATACGGGCTGCCTGTGCATACTTCAGCATTGCCGGGACATACATTTCGTTCATGTCTTTTCCATTTCTGTCCTGTGCCTAGAATATGGTGAGGACATGCCATCCACATGCCTCAGAAAAGCCCAGACTTGTTCCAGGCTTGGGAGCATCCAAGAGGAGGTTAAGCTTTGTAAACTTTCTACAGAGTACCCCAGGTCCTGGCCTAGCTTAGTCACCCTTCAGGTGTCAGGGAGACTTACCCAGAGGTGGGAGCACTGTACAGCAGACTTGACCCTCTCTACCAAAGTGGTCACTTCTGTCTGGTATTCCATATCTGCTATGGAAGTTTCTTTTTTCCTCACTGGGCAGAGCAGAAAGGGAGGGCCTAGTCAGCATGCAGGAATGGCTACCTGGTGGCTTTAGACATTCTGGCTTCGGAGAAGACACCCAGGGTGTTAGGTGCCCTCGTGTGATCTGTACCTGTACCTGCCCTCTTCAGCCTGACCCTTCAGAGTACCTTGGGAAACTCAAGGACAGAAAAGGACCAGGAGCAACATGGCATCATGTGGCTCTGGGAAGCGGTTCTGATGTCACTGGGCACCTGAGCTCTAGTTGCTAGAGATAGCATCTCTGCAGCCACCTTGTGCCATAGATTCTTCAGGGACAGTCAGGGAGAGGCAGGGGCTGTCTGTCTTCCTCACCCTAGTGACCACTGGTCTCATGATGACATGGCTGGGCAGTCCCAGTCATTGCTGGCTACTGGTGACCTTGGCTGGACAAGGCAAGGAGCTGAAGCTCACCCTTCATGGTATCCATACTCATCAGATTGGAGGGGAAATCCAAGTCCCTTCGGCCCTGATGGGAGAAAGAACCAGGTGAGAACGAGAAATGAAGGGTCCTCCCGGCTCTTCCCCCAAGGAGTGGTGGGTGCCACGGGGCGTGGCTCAAGATGTACACGGCGGTACTTCTCGCTGGTCTCCTTGGTGTGGATCTTGTCAATAAGCTTCTTTTGCTGGTTCAGCCGGTTTTCCCGTGCCCTTCGCTCCTCGATGAAGGTCGCCTCCCTTTGCCTCATGTTCCTCTGGGGACATAGAGAGTCAGTGGGGATATTGTCACACCAAGGGTCCCCCCAGGGTTCTAAAGCCAGTGGTCAGTCAGATTTTAGTCTTCATATTATTGGACTATAGAAGACTGGCCATTCTTTTCTTCTTACTGGCTCTCACTGTCCTCTTGGGTGCCCCTTTGCCTCTGTAGTGCAGACACTCGTGGTGAACACATGCCTACTGACTTTCCTCTCTAGCCCAGGCGCGCGTGCTCTCTCTCTCTCTCTCTCTCTCTCTCTCATTTCCCCTAGGCCCTTACCTTTCTTTAGTTGCCTCCTGGCTTGCTCCCTTGGAACCCATTAAACTGGATTTAAGATTTAACATATCTAAAAGTAATTCATCCCCTTAATTATCAACCCTAGTCTCTCCTCCATTCTGCTTTTCAGGCTGAAAACTGCCATCCCCCCTCCCTCCCTCCGTCCCTCCTGCTCTCACACCGCTCCTATCACCAAAGCTCACTGTGGTCACCCCTTAGTCTGCTTCTGGCCACCCCCACTCTACTGCTGGCCTGGCCACACAGCCAGTAGTTCTGCTCCCGCACCTTCTGGCACCTGCAGTTAATGTGTGCCACAATCTGTGATATCTTTCTGTTTGTTTGTTTGTTTCCCAAGACAGAGTTTCTCTGTGTAGCCCCTGGCTGTCCTGGAACTCACTCTGTAGACCAGGCTAGCTTCGAACTCATGGATCAACCCGACTTTGCCTCCCAAGTGTTGGGATCAAAGGCCTGTGGCATCACACCCAGCATAAAGCACAATCTGATCATGTGTCCTTTATCTTCTCTGAGGCTGTAAGACCCTATAGCCTCCAGTGATTCCTGCAGGGAAGTCACGTAAATTTCTGTGCACTAATATGTGGCAACAGCCCTGGCTTTTCTGTCCTTTCTCCTTTTGAGCTCTGATTACCCCTGGACTTTGCTGGTCCTTCAGAGCCCATTCAAGCATACTTCCTTGGAAAGCCACCCTGGATACTTCTGAAATCCTTTGCCTCTGTCGGCCATACTGATAGTATCATACTGATACTGATATATCATACTGTGATGTGGTGGACTACTAGATGAATTGCCTACTTCAGGAGGATGGGAGTTGCTGGCTTCCCTAGTCCTGTCTCCCTAGAGACAGTGATTTTTTTTTTAAAGAAAAGATTTATTTATTTATTATGTATACAGTGTTCTGTCTGCATGTCTGCCTGCAGGCTAGAAGAGGGCACCAGATATCATTACAGATGGTTGCGAGCCACCATATGGTTGCTGAGAATTGAATTCAGGACCTCTCTGGAAGAGCAGCCAGTGCTCTTAGCTGCTAAGTCATCTCTCCAGCTCTGAGACAGGGATCTTGGTAGTGACAAGGTGAATAGATGCCCACTTTCCTGGCCACCTCTATTATGGCCTCTGTGCTCAAATTGGCTTTCTCTGTCCCATGGGTGAGCAGATCAGTTGGTAGGGCTAACAATGGATTTCTCCAGTGAGGATGGGTAGTGTAGGCACAGGATGTCCAGATAGGTCCCGAACAAGACAGGATCAGGTGAGCCAGCTACTGATGGTTCCCCAATCCTTGGACTCACCTTGACCTCATCAGTAATCATCATGGCATCTTGGGACATGACGGTCATATCTGACAGCTCCGAGCAGTAGTTGGTTACCAGGTTCTGAAGCTTGTCTAGCTCCGTGGGGTATCCCGCCAGCACCTATCAGGATGGGCAAAGGCAGCATGGTCATGAAGCCATGGATTCCTTTGGTGCCATCATACTATTGCTGGCTTTCCTGAGCCTTCTGATTCCCTTCCATTCTTCATTCCCAGGCTGTGTGAGCCCTGGAGACAGCATAGGGGTTCTGTCTGTGGCCTAGCCTCTGGGCAAGGCACAGAGCGATCAGGAGAAAGAAGTGTTCTAGTGTGGATAGTCATTGGTGGCCTATGGACACTCGCTACCCAGGACAAGAGGATGTGATGACTCAGCAAAGGTACTCTGAAACCCAGGAGGGTTTGCTTGCGGGCATCTTTGGTCTGAAGTGGAACAGAGGGACTTGAAAGATGGGCTTGGAGACAGATAGGGCTCAAAGTGAAGTTCACTTCTGACCAGCTAGCGACGTGATCTTGGGATCACATCTAGCCTTTCTAGGGTGATCCTGACTTTTTTGAGAAGGTTTCTGTCAGGGTGGATGGAGAAGATAGCATATTTAGCACAAGGCTAGGTGCATCGATGGCCAAAGAAGATTAGCTTTTGATATTTTGCTGTTAAAACCGGTACATGCCGAATCTTTGCTGATTTTAAAGAAAATGTGGATATTGGGATTTGTTTCAGGTGTGTTTGTTCTGGAGCGAAAGTCCTACAAAGACTACCCAGGTGAAGGAGTGTGGGGAGGGCTGGACACAGGAAGGAAAGGTGGGCAGGGCCTCCAGTTGAGCCTCCAGCGCTAGGGTCAGGTAAGAGGGACAGACCAGAGCATGATGCCGCCGAGATGGCTCAGGGACATGACCCCAGCAGGGAAAAGCTTCTGCATTTGCCCACATTCCAACCCTTTCTCCAGCGAGCGAGCCATGCCACTCATTCACCTCCCTTTCTCCTTTTTTTTTTTTTTTTTTAAGATTTATTTATTTATTTTGTATTCAGTGTTCTGCCTACATGTATGCATGCAGGCCAGAAGAGAGCACCAGATCTCATTACAGATGGTTGTGAGCCACCATGTGGTTGCTGGAATTGAACTCAGGACCTTTGGAAGAGCAGGCAAAGCTTTTAACCACTGAGCCATCTCTCCAGCCCCCTCACCTCCCTTTCTAAGGACTAAAGCATTAGGGATTCCTTCTGGTCACCTTTCCAGGCCGGTCCACCGTGCTGCTTTCCGTACCCTGCTGCCCTGAAACCCCTTCACCCCCACTTCCACTGCAGATCTTTGCTCTATGGGAGCCACTGTGGGAGAGTGCTCAGTGAGATTCACGATCATGGTTCCCTGGGATATACAGGGGCCAGAGTCTGCTTCCTCCTGGCTTCCAATACAGAAAAAGCAGGGTAGCCAAAGAGGGCAGGGAGATGTGCGTCCAGCATATTTTTGGAGGTGGAAAAGGAATCTGTCTTGAACCATGTTAAGGGACTCCCTGGGAAGGGAGTATCACTCATCTCTGACCCTCAAAGACCCAAACTAAACTAGTTAGTATGTGAAAGAATTCTGTGGTTTTTGTGATGTGATGTGTGTGTGTGTGTGTGTGTGTGTGTGTGTGTGTGATGATTTGCATCTGTTTTTGAGACAGGGTCTCGCCGTGTAGCCCAGACTGTCCTGGAATATGTAATCTTCCCGTTTTAGCCTCTTGAGTTCTGAGATCACAGACCTGTGGTACCATGCCCAGGCTTAAGCCCAAATAATAGGCGCACCCCATAATATGTTTGTGTGGAACAACAAAAATGAAGTTCTCTAAGGAATGTTCCCACACACTTTTTTGAGCCACTTTGCAGGCTGGGTGAAAGATATTGGAGGCGGGGCTCCCTGGGGGCGGGGCTCACCTTCTTAAGGTAGTCCAGCAGGTCTGAGTACAGCATGTGGATGTTCCGGCTGGTGGTAATCTTGAGCGTGGTCTTTTCAATGTTGTTCTCCAGCTGGCGGATAATCTGATGGCAGTGGTGGAGTTGGATCACTGAAAAGGCTTGGTAACAAGACCCACCTCCCCAGAACCTCAGATCAGGTGTGAAGGGGCAGAACCCTGATCAGGAGGACATCGGTTGGGGGATGGGAGTGGGGGGGCTGGGCTTTCACACAAGGGTGTCGGGCTCCCTTAGTTCTGCCCCTGGCACCAGGTCCTGCAGGTGAAGTTATTGTACATCTTATCCACCCAGTCACCATGTATAAAATGGCTTTGATTCCCACTTCATGTTTACAGCTGTATGATAAAACATTACCTCAAGACATCGGTTTCCTGCTCCTTGTTAGTAAATTTTCCTGTTTGTATACAGCCATGTAAGGGCACAAACTAACCAAAAGGTCCTGCCCATCCGCAGATCCCACCCTGCTGATGTAATCCCACCCCTCTGTTGGGGGCCAATCTCACCTGTTAAAGTTTTTTTTTTTTTCTCTTACAAAGACCCTCACCCTTACAAAGGAGACGCCCTTCCAGCAGAACCCTGCCTAATTAGCGATCCAGCCCTGATACAGAGGCCCTGTCTGAAGGCAGGACTTCGTCCCCTTTCCAGACATCTCCACATCCTCTGGCATAGAACCACACTTTCGGAATCCCGCTCGCTGAGTCCCGCCTCTCCTGGAAAGCTCCAGTGCAAAGTCGGATGCTCTCCGCTGCCCCCGCCGGGTCCCCTGGCACCTGCAGCAACTTTAGCTCTTCTTTCGTGGCATCAGGCTGGTTCCGCAGACTGGCCAGCTCCAGCTGCAAGCTCTCCAGCTTCTGTCCCCGTAGCCGAGCCAGATGGATCAGTACGTTGTGTGCATTCACACGGTCGAAGACGTACTTGCGCAGCTTCTCCTGAGCCACCTGGGTCAGGGAGGGCGTCCGCGCGTGGGTGCGAGAGGGAGCGCCGCGGGGACCCCAGGAAGGCTGTGAGTCAGGGACTCGCGGCTGCCCCACGGGGAGCAGGAGGTGGGAACTCACTACGCCTTCCCGCCGGCCTCATTACATTTATTGTAGGCGGGCCTCGGGGACTGGGACGGAAAGGGGCAGGGGGTCATTTCTGCCTCGTTACCTCCATAGAACAACGGCGGTGTGCCAGCCTCATAGACACGTCCTTCCCGCAGGCTTTGGAGATGGTCCGCTGATCATACTGTGGAGCGGCGGTGGCTGAGCCAGGAGCCTTGCCCTTTTGCATTCCCCTGGGCACTGATGTACTCAGACATATCCCCCTGCGCCTCTTACTCGCAGCTAATCCAGCAAGGAGACCGTTGGTCCTGGGACCCCTGAGCAGAGCGCACAGGACCCCTCTAGGGACATCCCTGCTCCAGTGTGATGAGGTCCGGAAAGGAGGTCAGAGAGCCCAAGGAGTCCCGTGGTACTATGGAGTACCTGCAGGTACTAAGCACTCTGGGTGAGTATTGGGGAACCTGCCCTGGACGCCAGTCACAAAAGTACCCATCCCTGCAGCCCTTCTGGGCCAGAGAAAGGGGTAGGGCGTGTGCACGTGTTAAGTGAACCGCCACTTCTTATCCCCAGACTGCGAAGGGGGTGGGGCTTTTGCACCTTCTTAGCCAAAGCCCACTCCTGGGCCCCTCGACGGAGGTTGCTGCGCAGGAGGCCTAGTGTAGCCTTGTTCTGTGCTGTCTTCTCCTTCACGCCCTGGATCTGGAGCGCCCGACATTGTTCTGTAGGTGATGGAGGGAACAAGATTACCAGACGGTGGGCTAAAGGACTGGCTGAGAATTCCAGCAAAGCATCCAGAGAGGCTAGTAGAATGCGGCATTGCCTCCACGACCATTTATTTCCCCTTCCCTGGAAGACACGGGCTTCCCTGCTCAAATGGTAATCTACAAGGCTCTCCAGGGATGGATGCTGGCCAGTAAAGAGGGTGAGGCTGAGACCAGGGATGGGGAACCCTTGTCTCTTTCACAGCACCTGCGCCTAGAATCATGTCGATCTCTCCTCAGTCCCTCCAACTTTGGAACAAGATTGTGGTAAATGCACAAATCTCACAAAAGCTCCCCCTGCCCCCTCACATGGCAGGCCCTTCTGGAACTTTTGCCCAAGGGAGCCTGGGTGGGTTGTAGGATGACAAGCTGCCTACTAGCAGGCCAGAGTGGCAGTCCCCAGTGTGGCTCACCCTGGAGCCGAGTGATGGTCCTTAGCTCCTGTATCTGTGCTTCTACAGCTGCTTCATTGTGAATCTTCATGGTGGGGCCCTAAAGGTCCTCCAAGAGTCCTGTGTGCCTCTCAGCCTCCCTGCTCACAACTGAGCCTAAGTTGAGATTGTCCTCGGAATTTCAGGTCATTGTGATGGGACTAAGGTTCTCAATGCCCAGAGAACCCTGGAGTTCCATCCTTTCAGATTTCATTCTCAAGGTCACCTCTGGGTGCTTGCTCTGAGGGAAATGAGTCCTGAGGCTGCTGCTTCAGGGATTCCATTGGACACCAGAGAACTCTTGGTGGTGAGCAACCTGTGATGATTTAGTACAACACCTCACCCAGCACCCCACCTTCTTGTTCTCTCCCCTGCTCTCGGGGCCACAGAGCGCTCGACTGTGCCTCCTACATCTAACCTCAATGTCAGTGCTTGGGGAGACCTCTCTCTCCAACCCATACTCCTAGTTCAAAGCCCGGGCACTGGGTGATTTAGCGCCCCACCCCAGCTTCTGCCCAGCACTGTTCCATGTCTTCCAACTTTTCCAGACCTGTGCTGGCCCTGTCTGGTGCCACTCTGCTTGACTCCTGCCTCCCTTAGCCCCCTGGATCTTGGGTCCCCAATTGTTGGCAGGGACAAGACCACACATCTACACCATACCCCTTCCCTTAGAGCAGTGTGCTAGCAGTCGGCGGCAGCCCGGCACACCGTGGAGGCTGTGAGACAGACACTTTCTACAACCTGGTCTGCATGGGGCTGCATAACTCAGTACCAGTGGGGAGCTTACTCTTCTGCAGGCGGCTGTTCTTCAGTCTGGGAATAGAAGGCCAGGTCAGGGTGTTGCATGGCTGCTTCTTGTGCTGTGTCTCCCCTCGCCTGTAGATGCTTTCTGTGCCTGTGATCTCATGCGGTTGTCCCTCTGTACCAGTCTGTGTCCTAATCTCCTCTTATAAGGATGCCAGGAAGACTGGATTGGTCCCCATGGCATCAGTCAGCCCTAATCACTGTATTAAAGGGCCCATCTCCAATGGCTGCCTTCTGAGGTCCTGTGGGTTAGGACTTCAGTGGATGGATTTTGGGGGTTATGGAATCAGCACATGTGTCTAACACAGGACACATTTGTGTTCTCTCCCCATGTTCTCTCACACGGATCCTTTGCCGTTCAGCCACTTTTCTGTCCGGTCTAAACTCTGGTCACCCCTTGCCTCCCTTCTGGTCAACGCCTCATTCTCAAGAGGGCTGGAAGGACCTGACATGGCCACGGCCGCTCACCTTATCTCCCTAGCTTTTGGAGGCCCAGCTTGGTGTCCAGCTGAGGCTCTTTCTTTTCCCTCAGATACAGAACTCCTGAATTTTAGTGGAGCAAATAAATGGCTGTCCAGAGTAAGGCTGCCTTCCTGGGTTTCCTTCCGGTTGATGTACCATGTGACTTAGTTCTGGCCAGTGCTGTGTATACAGGCACGGCAGAAGAACTGTCTTCTTCCACCCTTTTTCCTTCTGTTAAATGGGATGATGACACAGTGTCTGGAGCTGGTGGAGCCACCCGGCATGATGAGCTAGATTGAGAAGTGGGGGCCATTACAACAGGAAAGAGACTGAAGGACGCCTGGGTCCCTGATCCCCAGAAGAGCTCTTAAAACAATGCCGGGGATTGAAGATGGCGTGTCCTCCAAAGCTAAACTCATGCTGGAGTTTATACCCCACCCCCATTGTGAAGTTTTAAGAGGGTAGGAAACAGGACTGTGTCCTTTAGGTAGGGCTTTTGAGAGATTATTAGAATTTAAGTTACCAGGGTAGAGCCACCATGGTCAAACCTCGATGGTTTTATAGGAAGGAGGATGCAACATGTATGCTCTGTTTCTGACCGTGTGATGACCTGTGATGTTTCTGGACTCTGCCAGAATGACAGCCACCACCAGGTGGCTGCTGGACCTTTGGCCTCCAGAACCGAGGGTTAAAACAAGTTTTTTTTTTTTTTTTAAAATATATATTTATTTATTTATTATGTATACAATATTCTGTGTGTATGCCTGCAGGCCAGCAGAGGGCACCAGACCCCATTATAGATGGTTGTGAACCACCATGTGGTTGCTGGGAATTGAACTCAGGACCTTTGGAAGAAGCAGGCAATGCTCTTAACCTCTGAGCCACTTCTCCAGCCCTTGGTTTTGTTTTTTTTTTGTGGTTTTTTTTTTTTTTTGTTTTTTTTAGTTGGGCAGGCAGAGGCTGGCAGATCTTCGTGAGTTCAAGGCCAGCCTGGTCTACAAAACGAGTTCCAGGACAGCTAGGACCGTTACACAGAGAAACCCTGTCTGGATTTTAAAATTATAATCTGCCCAAGTCTGTGGTATGTTGTTGGCACCAGCACAGGCACTGATAGACCATCTACCTCGGTTTCTATAAGAAAACTAACTTGGCTCAAGCTTCAACTATGAGAGGCCTGCTGCCACTCCACCCACTGATTTGTTCCCGCAGACATCCAGTTGACAAGCTCAGTAGAGGTGCAGGAGCAGGCCAAGGCCAAGTCTTTGTGCTCCTGGGATACCAAGGTTGGGACAATCTCTGTTTGTTTGTTGTTGTTGTTTTTTAAACAGGGCTCGTTGGTGTGGGTGGTCTCCTTCCTCCCCAAGACATTTCCTTTGGAGCTTTGCTGCTTGTTCCTTCTTGGAGAAGGGGCTTCACTGACGCCAAGTAGGTGGGCACGACTCATGCCCCTACCTGGCCTTTGACTGCTCCTACCTCTGTTCTGCTCTTCTGGTAGACTTCCAGGAGGATAGGCATTGGTGTAACTACATGGCCCAGATGGCTGGAAGGAACATCCAGTTCTGGGGCTCTACATTTGGAATTTCTGCATATCCTCCAAGATCAGCCGTACAGCATGATCACATCTTCTCACCCCTTACATTCTGTTTGTTTCTGTTTTCTGGAGACAGAGTTTCTCTGTAGCTTTAGCTGTCCTGGAACTCACTCTGTAAACCAGGCTGGCCTCGAACTTACAGAGATCGGCCTGTTTGTTTTTTCTTGAGATAGGGTTTCTCTGTGTAGCCCTGGCTGTCCTAGAACTCGCTCTGTAGATCAGGCTGGCCTCAAACTCAGAGATCTGTCTGCGTCTGCCTCCCCAGTTCAGGGATTAAAGGTGTGTGCCACCACTGCCTGGGCTCTCTTTTTACTATTACACCTGTATTTCTTTCTCTTTTTTTAAAAAAAAATATTTATTGGGGCCGGGCGGTGGTGGCGCACGCCTTTAATCCCAGCACTCGGGAGGCAGAGGCAGGTGGATCTCTGTGAGTTCGAGACCAGCCTGGTCTACAAGAGCTAGTTCCAGGACAGGCTCCAAAACCACAGAGAAACCCTGTCTCGAAAACCTCCCCCCCCAAAATTTATTGATTGATTATGTGTACAGCATTCCTTCCATGTGTGCCTGCAAGCCAGAAGGAGGCGCCAGGTCTCATTATAGATGGCTGTGAGCCACCATGTGGTTGCTGGGAATTGAACTCAGAACCTCTGGAAGAGCAGTCAGTGCTCTTAACCACTGAGCCATCTCTCCAGATCCTACACCTGTATTTCTTTTGTGTGTGCCTGTGCATGTGTAACGGGAACCCACACACCACAGTAGAGATTAGTTGTTACTCTTCCCACCACGTGGTTCTTGGGGATTAAACTCAGCAGGCTTAGCAGTGGGCACTCTACCACGGAACAACCTCACCAACTGGTTTAATTGCTTCAGAGCTCAGGTAGGAAAAGGACAAGCCATTTATTAGTTACAACCCTCCGCAATTCTCCTTGGACTCGGGGCACAGAAGTCAGAAGAGGGACCCCAAAGCACCAGAAAAAATATAGAGAAGTCTCTCTTGCCACTTGCAGGCTGCTGCCTTCACAGCTGTGAGCAACAGGATACAACCCTCTCTGAGACCGCGACTTCTTGCTGCTCTGGAGGATATCCCCCCCACCCCACCCCCACCCCTTGTCTTCCAAGCCCTTTTCTGAGCTAAACTCCTGGGCGAGTCCTAGAACTGGTTGTCAGGCAGGCCTGCCTAAACACACGTGTGGGGGACAGGTGATACTCAAGAGCGTGTGTGTGTGTGTGTGTGTGTTTGGCGAGGTAGGAAGGACCAGCCTGGAGTTAGTGTTGCAGTCTGTATTCCAGGATTCGCCTCTTCAGATCCTCCACACCCTAAGCAGCCAGAGCTCATCTAGTTGTGATGATCTGTAGGAGGCAAAAGGAGACAGCTGGATTCACGTCTGTGGGTTTTTCTGTTTTTGTTTCGTTTTTGATTTTTTTTTTTTTGAGACAGGGTTTCTCTGTGTAACAGTCCTAGCTGTCCTAGAACTCGCTTTGTAGACCAGGCTGGCCTCGAACTCACAGAGATCCACCTGCCTCTGCCTCCCAAGTGCTGGGATTGAAGGTGTGTGCCACCACCGCCTGGCCTATGTCTGGTTTTTGAGGGGTCCTGATCCTGTTCTATCATGAGAAAAACAGAGCTCCTGTCAGATGTGGTTAAACAGACTTATAATCCCAAGCATAGGAGGTGGAAGCAGGGATTCAAGGCCAGCCTGGGTGATGGATGGACCCTTTCTCAGAAAAACAAAAAAACAAAAATACCTGAGTTCTGTAACAAGGACAAGCAGGCCTGAGGCCCACCAACTTGGTATCAGATTCAGGGTCTCAGTCCTAGACACTCCTCTGAGTTGTTGGGCTAACTGCTGTGCCCTGTCCCACACCTTACAAGGCCCTTCCCTCTGTCTCAGGGTCACCCTAGTTTCCTAGCTCCTCCTCCAGGGAACGCGCTGCTCAGTCTTTGTTGTTCTTGAGGCTTCTAGCCTCAGCCCCTCAAGGGGGAAGCAAGACTTGCCGGAGGGAAGAGACCAGTCTATCACTTGAGTCCCGTGAGCTCGTTTTCCTGAAACGTCTTGCTGCCCCTTTGGGGCCCTCTCACCTGTGTTCATGTCTTTGGGGAGTTGACCTGTCTCCAGGAAGATCCAGAGATCTCTGCATTTCTGAGACTCCGTTTTTGTCACTTTGTAGCTGGCCACAGATCCTACAACTGGAGGGGGGGAAGCAGGAGGGTGGTGAGTTGGGGGACCTTAGCCCCTGCACGTTTTACAAGGGGACCAGGCACAAGCTACTTCTGGGCAGACAGGGTGGGTAGGGCTCCAGCCAAAACAGGACGGTACCCACTACGGAGTACTCACTAGCAGACACCAGCAAGCTCCACTGCACAGGGTATGCAAACTTCCGCTTAATGAACAGCTGCAAGCCGAAAGTCACACCAGTGCCTGCCGAGAGCCAAGAAATCATTGGTCAGCCTGCAAGGTGATGGTCTTAGTGTCCACTGCACCTGCAATGCAGGCAAGATGACGTGGCGCCACCTTGTGGACAGACAGGGCGGGACAGTAGGTTACAGTTTTTTCCCTTTAAGGTGTGTTCTTTTTTTGTGTCCCAAAGTGGAACCAGCCTACCTGTGACAAAGGTGAAAACGCCCTTCATGAAGGCGTTCGACTGGCACGCGGCATATTCCTCGAGCCCCTGGGATGGAGGTGGTGGTGTTCATGGCTCAGTTCCCTTTCCTCCCCTCCTGCTCCTCCTTTGGGCGTGACCTGGTTGGGAGAGGGACACTGGGGACCGGATATATCCCACCCTCTCCTAAACTCCTTCAGCGTCTCTATCCCCAAGGCAGGAGGGTCCCCGCTCCGCCACTCCATGAAGGAGTTCCCCCTGCCTGTACTCGGCTTCAGGTTAGCTTCTGAGAACTAGATCCAGCACCCCAGGCCAGCCTTCTCACCGGGTGCTTGGCGGCCACTGCGTCATCCACTCGGGACAGGCCCAAATTCACCATGGTTGGTCAGGTTCCGCCAGAGAGGACAGTCACACTGGGGGCGGGGTGGAGCCTAAGACTCGATCCTGCGCAGAACGTAGGAGAGAGGGTCACGTCCCCGAATCCCCGGTCTAAGGGGAGGAACCTAGATGAGCTCACCACGTGGGCGGAGCGGGGAGGCTGTAGGTCTCGTACCGGCTGGTACGGGTCTTGGAGTTGATCTTGGGATTTTGTGACCCTGCAAGCAGCCCTGGCTTTCGTCACTCCTTCAAGAGCGCAGTGGTCTTTTTAATTACTTGAGCCGGGGCTTTGCTTTAGGACTACAATTGAGGGTTAAAGTAACAATGGAGTAGAGACTTGGAATTGCAGAAATTCAATTGAGCCCTTTTTTGGTGCCTGTTCTGTGTCAGGGCCTGGAGTCTTACGGAGGAGTCCATAGAGCTAGGCTGGTTGCCCACAGGTCAGAAGGTACTGGCTGGACAGAGAGAGGTCAGGACATTCAGGAGGCTCCCAGAAGGGAGCTGGTGAGCTGAGCCTCCTGGAGAGTATGAGCCAGGAGTAGAGCGATCGGATGGGATGCGAAAAAGAACTCTGGGAACTGCCTGATACTGACCTTGCCAACCAAGGACTAGGGACAGAACTAGGGGCAGAGAGGGGCAGTAGGTACGTTTCAGGGAAGGCAGCGGGTTGTGTGATCCCCGCAGATCCCTCACCCCAGATTGGAAGCCCTGTCAGTGGCAGAGGCTGATTGTCTGGCAGGACTCAGGTGTGGTGACATTTCATTTGTATTTTAATAAATAAAGCTTGCCTGAAGATCAGAGAGTAAAACAGCACCCCTTCCTCCCCCTCCCCCCGTCAGCCTTACAGACCAGGCAGTGGTAGTGCACACCTTTAATTCCAGAAACCACAGTAATTTGCCATAGAAGCTGGGCGGTGCATGCCTTTAATCCCAGAAATAGAGAGGATTATAAAATGGGAGAGACAGCTCTCAGACACAGTCTCATTCTGAAATTTTTGGAGGCAGGATGGCCATTTGGGACTGAGGTTAAGGTAAGAGCCAGTGGCCGGCTAATTTGCTTCCCAGATCTTCAGACTGAACCTCAGTTTCTCTGAGTTTTTATTAATCGTGCATCAGTATGGGTTGGGCTCAGAGACTGTGGACAGCAGGTTTGGGTGGGGTTGGGGTTTGCCAGGTGTTTATGCCTGGGTGAAAAGTGTGTTGAGGATCTGGCTGTGGTGTGTATCCAAGTCATCTTAGCGTGGAGGAGGTGAAGGCGGGATGATTGTGAGTTCGAGGTCAGCCTGGGCTAAACTTGTGGGCCTGTTTCAGGGAGACGGGAGGGGAGGGGGGCTGGACTCAGGCCTTTGTGGTTGCATGGCAAGCACTTTAAAGACTCAGCTATGTATGTCTGTGTGTGGGTGTGCACACATGTATGTAGGTGATATGTCTGTGTGTGGTTGTGTGCGCATGTGTGTAGGTGATATGTCTGTGTGGTTGTGTGCGCATGTGTGTAGGTGATATGTCTGTGTGGGTGTGTGTGCATGTGTGTAGGTGATATGTCTGTGTGGGTGTGTGTGCATGTGTGTAGGTAATATGTCTGTGTGTGGTTGTGTGCGCATGTGTGTAGGTGATATGTCTGTGTGGGTGTGCATGCATGTGTGTAGGTGATATGTCTGTTTGGGTGTGTGTGCATGTGTGTAGGTAATATGTCTGTGTGTGGTTGTGTGCGCATGTGTGTAGGTGATATGTCTGTGTGGGTGTGCATGCATGTATGTAGGTGATATGTCTGTGTGGGTGTGCATGCATGTATGTAGGTGATATGTCTGTGGGTGTGCATGCATATATGTAGGTGATATGTCTGTGTGGGTGTGCATGCATGTATGTAGGTGATATGTCTGTGGGTGTGCATGCATATATGTAGGTGATATGTCTGTGTGGGTGTGCATGCATGTATGTAGGTGATATGTCTGTGTGGGTGTGCATGCATATATGTAGGTGATATGTCTGTTTGGGTGTGCATGCATGTATGTAGGTGATATGTCTGTGTGGGTGTGCATGTGTGTAGGTGATATGTCTGTGTGGGTGTGCATGCATATATGTAGGTGTTATGTCTGTGTGGGTGTGCATGCATATATGTAGGTGATATGTCTGTGAGGGTGTGCATGTGTGTAGGTGATATGTCTGTGAGGGTGTGCATGCATGTATGTAGGTGCCTGCATAGGTCAGAAGAGAGCATTGGATCCCCTGAATCCTACAGGCACCTAGGAGAGGCCTGATATGGGTGCTGGGAACTGAACTCCAGTCCTCTATAAGAGTAGTAAATGCTCTTAGCTACTGAGCCATTGCTTCAGCACCCCCCCCCATTTCTTTCTCCTCACCTCTTTCTCCTCCTCTTTTATTTTCTTGCTTCCCCCGACCCCCAAACAAGGGTCTCTGTATAGTCCTGGCTGTCCTGGAACTTGCTCTGTAGACCATGCTGGCCTCACTCGAGGTCTCCCTGCCTCTGCCTCCTGAATGCTGGGATTAAAGGTGTGTGCCCCCACCACCCGGCAAAAGACTGATAATCGAGTGCTGGAGAGAAGACTCAGCAGTCAAGCGCACTGGCTGTTCTTGCAGAGAACCTGGATTCCATTCCCAGCACTCGCATGCAGCTCACAACCATCTGTGACTTCAGTCCACGGGAATTCAGTGTTCTCATTCAGCTTCCATAGGTATTAGGCACACGTCACATGTATTACACAGACATATATACAGGCAAAACATGCATATACATAAAATGGAAAGTTTTTATTAAATTGATTATTGGGGGAATGCAAGCTGGTACAACCCCTTTGGATGTCAGTGTGGCGATTTCACAGAAAATTAGAAAACAACCTTCCTCAAAGCACAGTAATACCACTTTTGGGTATATATCCAAAGGATGCTCAATCATGCCACAAGGACATGTGCTCAACTATGTTCATAGCAGCTTTGTTCCTCATAACCAGAACCTGGAAACAACCTAAATGCCCCTCGATCGAAGAATGGGTAAGAAAAATGTGGTACATTTACACAATGGAGTACTCTAAAGCAGAAAAAAAACAATAGCTTGAATTCTGCGGGCAAATGGATGGAGCTAGAAAATATTATTTTGAGTGAGGTAACCCAGACACAGAAAGACAATTATCACATGTACTCACTCATAGGTGGTTTCTAAACATAAAATAAAAAAAGCCAGCCTACAAACCACAATCCCAGAGAACTTAGACAACAATGCGGACACTAAGAGAGACTTACATAGATCTAATCTACATGGGAAGTAGAAAATATAAAAAGACAAGATCTCCTGAGTAAATTGGGAGCATGGGGACCTTGGGGGAGGGCAGAAGGGGGGAGGGGAGAGGCAGGGAGGGAAGCAGAGAAAAATGTAGAGCTCAATAAATATCAATAAAAAATTGATTATTGGTTATTAATTAAAGTAATATTTTGTATGGAGTCTGGAGAAATGGAGATGCTTCTAAGAATAAAAATGCACAAGCCGGGTGGTGGTGGCTCACGCCTTTAATCCCAGCACTTGGGAGGCAGAGGCAGGCAGATCTCTGTGAGTTCGAGACCTGCCTGGTCTACAAGAGCTAGTTCCAGGACAGGCTCCAAAAAAAAAAAAAAAAGCACCCCAAGTCCCAGCAACCAGCATTAGCTGGTACCTAACGGTGAAAGAGTATGAAGATTGGTTACCATGCCTCTTCCCTTCAGGACTCCTGGGGGCCCTTGCATATCCAGAAGGAAGCCTCTGAGTGGGGATCCCTCTGTCTTTACATCCCCACCCCAGCCTCTCACTCAGACCTCTGTCGCCTCCCTCCTCCCATCAGGTTCTGCACCGTCCCTCGCTCCTGCTCTTCTTTGGAGGACAACGATTGGGTTTGTATTCCCGGCTGAGGGATAAGATGCAGCTTCCCTGTCTTGGCAACGATGGCTGTCTCTTGTGTCCCCAGATCTGCCCCAAATAGTCACTTTAGGTTGTTGTTATGGTTTTGTGTGTCTCTTTGGATGAAAGTACCGTTTGCATCCCCCTGATACTGGCACCCATCCTACCCCTTCTCTGTAGGCTTGACTGCTTTGGTGTTCTTCTTTCTGAGGGCCCAGGCCAGTAGGCCTCACTCAAGTTTCTATCTCCGCCTCCTGTACTTGCTACCCACTTTTCTCTGCTGAATGAGCTTTGAGATCCTGAAGCCTTGGCAAGGCCAGGTGTGTGAAGACAATAGTCCTTGACAGACTTGGAGACAATTGATGAGAAGACTCCTGAAAAACTAGCTCCAAAAGGCAGGGTTGGACAACAGGCTCCTCAGAAGCTTGAGAGGCAGCTTGATGGGTGTTGCTGCTGCTGAGCCCCCTAAGAACCGCACGCTGCACTGAGCGCTCCTCGGCCTCCCATTCATGTGCACAGCAGACAGAAGTAGCCTTGCTGAGAGAGGGTCTGAGGCACTAGCTGGCAATTGGGCCTAGAGGGAGTTGGGCTTGGCCCCTCCAGGCCAGCAGAACCCTTATTCTGACTGCCCTGTGCACCTTAATGCCGACCTACTGCCAAGTCTGGCATTGGCCTGGCCAGGGCTGGGTATAGCAAGCCAGAGTTGCTGCATCCAGCGAGCAGGGTGCCCACAGGGACCTGAGTGGCTGGAGTGATCAGGAGCTGGTGACTGAAGGAGACAGCTCAGGTGCAGAGTACTTGCTGAGGCCGCTCTGGTTGTTCTGACCTCCAGCTGATCTTCCTTCTCTTGGTTTCTGGGCAGCTGTGTGTCCAGAGGTCTCTAGGAAGCCCTGTATTAACATCTGGCGACTCAGAGGGGTCCTTTCTTTCTGTCTCTGGTTCTGTGTCCCAGCCACCGGAGGAGTCTGTTTGCTGTTACTACCTAGGGAGGAGCCTGAAGGTTAGTGAGAGCACCGGCCTCCTCCCACTTGACTGTCACCCGGTTAGAACCAGTCAGGCTGAGTCTTGACCTCTCGTGGTCTCTCACACCTCCCTAGCTGTGTGATGTCCAGTGTCCAGATGCCTCTGTCTGTATCGTGCTTCTGTGTCCACTAA